GACCCACACAGTCACAAGGACCCTCAGAGTCACAGGGATCCCCAGGGCTGCCAGGACAACCCCAAGATTCACAGGGATCCCCGGGACCCCCCAGAATCTCCCAGGACCCCCAGATTCACAGAGACCCCCTGGACACCCCACGACCACAGGCAGCTCCAGGAGCTTCCAGGACCCTCCAGAGTCACAGGGAGCCCCAGCACCTTCAGGACCCCCAGGCCTCTGACACCCTTGGCACTCCTGCTAACAGCAGGGTCTGGGTGTCCTTGGCACCCCCGGGGACCCCCATATCCAGAATACCCAGGGTGACTGGTGACCCTGGAACCCTCAGAACTGCTGCCACCCTCCGCGGGGGGACAGGGGGGCAGTGGGTGGCATTCCAAGGGCCAGTGATGGCCATGCTGTGCAGAGCGCCACAGGAAAACGCTCCCACTCAGCACCATGAGGACAGCACGGATTGGGCTGGGACAACCAGGCACCCAGGGGTGCCCTTGTCACAACCCTGGTGGTGGCAGTGCTGGTGACAGTGACCACAGCCAGGCAGGGGACCCTGCTCTGCCACAGCCACCCTGGCAGTGTTTGCCTACATTGTGCCAGCAGTCCTGGGGCAGGTAGTGCTGTCCCAGCCATGGCCATCCCTTGTGTCACCCAGCAACCCCGTGACAACCCACAGCAGTGCCGGGGTGTCCCTGCCATGGCATGTCCCTCCATGAGGTGTCCCTGCCGTGGGGAGCTGCACAGGGCAGCCTCTGTTTTGCCCTATTTCCTCCAACCTGTTCGGTGTAGATTGCCAGCACAGCAGGGCACGGCACAGCTCCCTGCCCTGGCACAGCCACAGAAAGGTCACCCCGAAAGTCATCGATTGTCCCTTTGTTCTTGGCCTGCCAAACTCCCTTCTCTGCCCCACCCAGCGAAGGCAGAGAGTTGGCTCAATGCTCCTTGTCACCACCATCCCCTCCAGCCACTGGGCACTGCCTTGGTCATGGCCCCTCCAGCCACTCAGAACACCCCCAGTCAGAAGCACGGCTTGACCACTGTCCTCTGCAGCCACAGGGTGTCTGCTTGGTCATTGTCACCTCCAGCCACCAAACATCCCCCCAGCCACGGTCCACCTTGCCATTATGTCCTGAGCTCTGTCTCCTGGAGCCACCACGTGTCTCCCCAGTCACTGTCCCCTCTAGCCACCATCCCCTCAGTCACTGTCTCCTCCAGCCACCCCTCCAGCCACCCAGCAGCCCTGGCTACAGGACAGGGAGCAGGGCCACGCTCTGGCTGGCACAGCAGGTACCGGCTGAGGCAGGCAGTGTGCCGGGCTGTGCCACACACCAGCCCCAAACTGGCCGAGCTGGCTGGGCCAGCCCCAGGGCTCCCCAGTGGGTGCTGGTGGCTTCCCCCAGGGCTGGGTGTCACGGCTGGGCACGGGGCTGGTAGCAGGATGCCCGGGGCTGAGCACAGGTGGAGCACCAGGGGTGCCAGACCTGATTCCTGCCTCAGGGCTCAGGGCACACAGAGCGGGGGAAAGTGCAGGATCAGGCCCTTGGGGTGCTGCACCCATGGGTACCCCTGGCTAAGTACCCACCTCCTGTCCATTGCAGGGTGGCCATTCCGCTGTACGACCCTGACACCGGGCTGCTAGTGCTGGCAGGGAAGGTGGGTCCCACGGCAGGGGCAGGGGGGCACAGTGGGGTGCGGGGGGCTGGAGCGGGGAGCAGAAGGGTGCAGGGGGGTACGGGAGGCAGCAGAACAGAGCTTGTGGGTGCACGGGGGGGCAGAAG